ATGTGATATTTACCTCTTGTTCCATTTTCACCGCAAATACACTTCTAAAGCGGAAGGAAAATGAAAAAATTTAAATATCATCACCTGACCTAACAAACAAGTGTCAGAAATTGAAAACAAACCGAAACAACCAAAGCTTTTTGATCGGTAGATTCGGTGACAGTTGGTTGGGACCGAACTTTTCAGGAACCGTGTTTCATAACCTAAGAACACTTGTTCTCTTGGGGAACGCTGCTCCCCCGTTTCAAGAATAAGGACCCGAGTGGTTAGGTAACGGAACGGGAATCGGAAAAACCAAGAATCTTGGTTAACTTACGGAACGTCGCCTGTCGTCAGCTGTTTGCACTAGCGATAGTAGTTTAGAATTTAAATTAAGGATGAAAGATATTATTTAATTTTGATAAACAATAGGCAAAGAGGAAGATGAAAATGAGATCTTAAAAAGAATTATTCCAGAATGTTAATTAATGTAGTAAAACCAAGTATGCATAAAGCCTAGTACTCATAACTGCGACTTGCAGAAAGCGAATTTTTTTCTCTGTCAAAATTATGTTATGAGTACTAGGCTTAGGACGGGTATTATAAAACTGCTTGGACAGTTAACTTAAACTTAACTTTTTGAATTACATGTAATTCCAGAAGTTAACTTTAAGTTAACTCTCAAAGTAGTTTTATAATACCCGCCCTTAATAGCAAAGGCCCGCGGAATCATGACCCTTGGTGCAAACAGCCTACTTCAAGGCGAGAAAGGACATGCTGCCAACGTTACAAATGGTGATTTGCCGAGGTGGAGGGCTTCAGATTTGTTCCACACAGGCCTTAAGGAGGATAGGCTAACCTGTAGTAGTAGTGTGTATTATCCTTGCGCATGGTCCGCACTCCGCACCATATCCCCACTCAAAGTAGTTCATTAATCCACTATTAACCTTTAGGATTGTTGACCGCAGAAACCCGTCATGACTTGCCTTCAATGCCTTCTCTATTTATGTAGTGTAGTGTTACTCTGAACACTGAAGCGTGCACGCAGTTCGCCCGGTCGTCTATTGTGGATGCAGAGGTAGGAGAACGAGTGTAGTTTCAATAGAGAGGAAGCAGGGGCGTAGCCAGTAGGGGAGCAGGGGGGGCGACGGCCCCCCCCGCCCCCACAGGTATGGCGCCCCTACAGCTCTTGAAAAACAAAAGCAAAAAATAAGAAATTATAAAACTATATGCTGTTTCTTATTTATTTTATTGACCTCTTCACTCTTTATTCTTTATCGTAAGTCGGCATTGTCGTCAAATGGTTCAGTTCAACCAAAGGAAAGGTGATAGTTTTTGTTTTGATGACTGATGTGCAGTGGCGGACCTAGGACCTTTGGGGCCCGACGCAAAAATTTTGTTTGGGGCCCTGTCATGCTTTTTTTAGGTATTTTTCTTGTGGTGTTGGGCTGTAAAGTGAGTGTGCGGAAGTTATTTATATTTTGGAAGTTTTTAACAACCAAATATAGAAATAAATTTATTCAAAAAACAAGTTTATCAAGAACATATGAGACAGAAAACAAGTTAAACGAAAAAAAATTTTTATACAAATTCAGGAACTTTTTATCTAAACAAAAAGAAATACATCATAGAAGTACCGCACTGCACTGATACTGTCCGTACTCCATCGACAAGTGCCATAAATTATCTGAGTCTGGAAGACAATAGGCAATTTTTTGCGAGGATAACCAAGCATAATCTTTTGCTGGATTATATGATGTGTTATTTATGTCATACTCCCGTAACTCCCCCACCATCAAATTCTGGGATACTCGAGGATCAAGAATACTTAATTTCTTCTGAGAGAACAGACCGAAAATCACCTTTTCTACATTTAAAATCGACGAAAAAATTAACACTAGCACAGCCTGAATCGCAAGCATTCCATGGAGGTCTGCGGGTGACGTCATCACTACAAGCGGCTGATAGTAGTGACGTCACTCGCAGGCCCAGAATTTGATGTAGAGGAAGTTAGGGGAATATGATACAATTGATACATCAAATAACCCAGCATAATCAGATTCTGTTCGATTATCCTCGCGAAAAATTGCCTAATATCTAAAAAAGCCGCCTAAAGTCGACGCGTCCGCGGATGCCGCATTATCGCGTCGAGTGAATCAGGGCTGGGATCACGACATTCTACTAGAATTTCTTTTTTATGACGTCAGGTTGCCTAACAATTGTCATCATCGCCTTTATTGTCGAAACAGGAGATAAGCGTTTTGTCTTAGTTGCTCATATTTCTATTTCCATAGCACTGACAAAGACAGAGCAATCGTCCTTTCTCGTGAGAACGCTTTCCCCGGTTTCAATAATAGGCATCCTGGTATACAACGTTGCCGCCTCTTTCAAAATTTAATTTTCGTATTTTTTTTTTCTACGAGTTTTTTTTTTATTTGTTTTTATCGGTCCCTTTAGAATCTGGTTGTGTGGGGGCCCCTCAGCTCTGGGGGCCCGACGCACAGTGCGTCGTTGGCTTTATGCTAGATCCGCCACTGCTGATGTGGTATTTGTTTATTGGGTTGGGTGGGGCTGTCATCCGTCCGGATTTCCCCGGATGTGTTTCAGTTTTCAAGGCGTCCCCGGAGACGTTCCGGGAGGATTTTTTGAAGTTAACGGCATGTCCACACATTATTTTTTGTAAGGCTTAAAATACATAAATGTTTTTCGGCCTGGTACCTGAAAATTTACTTGTTATCCTCCACCCCCCCCCCCCCCCCCCCCAAAAGAATTATGCGCCCCTTATATGTTTGCCCTCTCCGCCCCGCAAGGCTGGCTACGCCACTGAAGCCGCCATTCTACACTCCAACTCCTGAAGAACCAAGCTCACACGTAGAATTATCAAACATAACATGAAATCGGTAGCAAATCATTCCGTTGTCGAGCAAATTTTACAAACAACCGGTTGTGATATCGAGTCCTTTTCACGTGGCTCCGGTTTAACAAACCGCAACATACCGCTCAAATTCGAGTGGCATCGAAGATGTCACTTGTAACCGGGTTAGAAAACGGTATGTCATTTCTCTAACCGCCTCGGCGATATGAGACGATTTTCAGCCTGGAATGATTATTATTTGGTTATAACCAATGCATTTCCGCCGTCGCGGTTTTAACCAAAGTAGGGGAAGTTGTGACGTAACATATCAGATGATTTGCTTTTGGTATTTACCACTTATAACCGATTATAACCCAGCTTTGGACTTGGGTTAATCTTTTGGTTACAGCTTTTTGATGTTATTATTATTATTTTTGGAATTTGTATTGGTGTTTTGTGATTTTACAGTTGCGTTGTAGCCTGGCACAATGAAAGAAGTATACATTCACTCACTCACTGCAATTCACCATGTTTAGGTCGAGGTTTAGAAAATCCCCAAAAATAAACTGTTCGATAAACCAGACTAACGAGAGATTCAGCTCCATTTTTTGTACCTAAACAAAAAACTATTGTTGAAACGTAAAAACAAATAAGAATAATAAACATAATCCTACACTGCTATAACCAAATCATTTCAGCGGTCAGTTCCTTGCGTTATGATTCTTGAATGGTGGGGGGCTATGACATTACACTTAGCTGTCAAAGTTATCAACCAAAAGAATAACCACGGTATTTACCGATAAATAATCATTCCAGGCTGAAAATCGCCTATGGTTACGTCGAGCGGTTAGAAGAAAAAAATATAAACAACGGAGAGCGGGAAAGTTTGGAAAAGTGTAAAAAGTAAATAAAAAGTTGTGTTTTGTATATAATATTATATTTTATGAATTTGAAGCCCGAAAGCCGTTTTTCTTTGTATATAGCCTGATTTACGAGGCCCGTGCATTAGAAATTGTTCAGTTTGCAGGTGGATTAGCATAAATAAATACCACCTAGGGCCGGTTTCTCCCTAGCGGGCACATAATAGCGGGTCACCTCTGGGTTGGTTTTATTTTTAACTCCAGGGTAAGCGTGTGCAGTTGCAGTTGCTATGTTTACCCTGGAGTTATGCTTAACCAGGGGGTGCCTTGCTATAATCTTTGCTATTGGGAAACCGGCCCTAATCTACCTGCTGATGCACGGACTACGTAAATCACCCTGTATTATATTCAAAATATGTACCAGAGACGAGACAATCCCAGTTTACCTACTCGATAGGCTGTTGTAGACTGTAGGTAACGAGAACTTATAAACTTTAGATAAACTGGTTCTAGTAGTCTATCCACCCATGGTCCACATCTAACGCATTGAACGAAAAGAAATTAAACTACCTACTTTTCACTTTTTAGCTTGCTGTAATAAAAAAGAATGAAATACTCGATAATTCCACAATTTTGAAAAAAAAACTTGCTTCCCATATTTCTTCACATTTAATTAATTGTAAATTGCTCACATTTAAGATAGTTTTGTCCATAGTAGACCTTAAGCTTTGTTTTGGTTCGAAATTTGGGAACGGTTCTGGGATTGCGCAGAACTGCTTGTGCACAAAAAATAATAGAGGACTGTTCTAATACTAGTTCTGAACCGATTCGGAACAAAAAAACCAAAACACGCCGCAAATCACAAAATTCTAAAACAGTTCCTCCTGCAGAGCAAGTACTGAAAGAACCGTTCTAGAACAATCCCAGAATTGTTCCTAAATAGTTCTGGATAAACCAAAACACTGTCAACACAGTTCGATTACGATTCTGAAAAAACGAAAACGCGTTTTATAAAATGCGCATGTGCAGAATGATTCCGAACTAGTTCTGAGTGAAACCAAAACAAAGCTATAATCATAATAGGTAGGTCAGGAGTCAGAATTAACGGCACTGACCAACCCAACCTCATATCGAATTTAAAATAACATTTTTCTAACCATTCGTTTTCAAGTGGCATTTTCAGTAATGTTATCACTTGACATACCGCTTCTAACCGTTTTGTTAGCTGGTTAGTTTAAACCGGAGCGACGTGAAAAGATGTCTTGGTTGACATGCAACCACTTCCCTTGTGTCAGTTGTCACTTACTGGCGCGTGCTTCAATGCTTCTGCTTGGGCCAGGGCATCATTGCCCATTGGGTACTCTGAAATTCTTTATTGTGCTGTGAATTTGGGTTTTGTGCACACTGCACATTGATTGTGGTCAACGTATAACACAGTTTGATTTTCGCTCTACCGCAATCTGCAGGAGCGAATGCATAGGATTATGAATTATTATTTATTTATTCTATAACTTTTTTCCCCACTCTTTTGTTAGTGCTTTTTTTTATTGTGATTCGGTACCACATCTTAGTACCGTGTACAAAGTTTGAAAAATAAAAGATTGTATTCGAAGCCTATTTTGTTCGGAAATGATAATCTACTCCAGAAGCTGATCACTTTATTATAACTATTACATTCATGTTATCTTCCAAAATGTCAGAAAAAGTAAAGGTAAGTAAGTGGTTAATTGATAATTAGCTACGTCTCAAAATAATTTCAACTAATATTTTTTGTAACAAATTAGCTAATACCAGAGCAAAAGTTGCAAGCTTTTACTATAGGGACTATGGGCAAAAGGATCTTTTCCAAACGTGAACTGGAGGAACAACGTAAGAAGGAAGAAGAAAAAGCCACTGCTCATGTAAGTTTAATTTGGTTAGGTAGTTCATGATACTCTTGCCTTGCCCTAGTTTTCTCAGATCTAGGATTATTGGACTTACTTGGTGCATGCTAGCATTTTCGAGTAATGTTTATTAGTACTGCTACTGCTACATTCACAAAATCAAAAAATAACAAACAAAAACAATAATCCCAGTCCTATAAAAACTGTCCAACACACAAAAAAAAGTGCAGTTTATCCAATCAAAACTAGCCAAAAAACCTCGCAAAAAACCATTCAAACTTTGCTTTTTAAATGTTTTTATTGTACTGCAATTTCTTATTTCACCTGTTAGTAGATGGTACAGTTTAGGGCTAAAGTAATTCACATTATCTGGGATTAAGGCTATTATTACTTTTGGCAGTTTAATATGTCGATTAATTCTAGTTCCTGTTTCATGAGTATGGTTAACCAAAAGTTTCAAGTTGGGGTAAATGTGAACATATGAGCAATTTTTTCTATAAATAATTTTAAGATTGTATTTTTGTATAACATTCAGTTTATAGAGGCTGCAACTATAAAGTCCACCCCACACCAAAATCCCATGTCTTTTAATAAATTCTACAAAAGCTTTACCTACCTATATCTGATAAGAGTTCTTTTATTCAAAAATTCTCTTGATAAGTAAAATGTATGACTAAATTTGCAAATTTTGTTAGAGACATACTCAATATAGGGGTTCCATTTGAGAAACTTATCAATCATAATACAATGCTGAGGTCTCGGCCGAGGTATTTGGTAGATGAAGTCTCTCCAATACATTGATCATCAACAATAATGTTACTATATTGTAGTCTATTTGAGCTTGCAAGTGAATAGGCTAACTTGTATATAGCTTAAATTATACAATATTTCAAATGTTCAATATGGTCACGCTCACTTGAAAGAGTGATTTCAGAGAATGCATAGGTAAATATAATTCAGTATAGCAAGTAGAGTTTTGACTAGAATGTGTGAATCCCTTATTCTAAGACTTATCCAACACCTACAGTTGTGTTGACCATGAGCTCTTGCGGAAAAAGCTCATGTATTATGGTTTTAATCAAGAGAGTGTAAGCAAATGATTAAATTAGATAATGGGTGGTATGACTAAAAACGAAGTATCTGCTACTACTAAGATTATAAGTATATTCTCCCTAGTATTTATTTTGAAACGAAGTAGATACTACATTTCGAAACTACCGGAAATTAGTGAATCCTTCTTTGTAAAGTAAATACTGCATAGAATATAATAATACTTGTACTGGTAGTAGGGTATTTTGTTTGTTTTTATTCATACCACCTAATATCTCATTCTAAAACATCAATGGGTGCAATTCGCAGATGAACTTTCTTAGGGTGGTTGAGTATGGGGTTCCACAGTGTTAGGGTCTTTTTGGTGTATCTGAATGGCACCCTGAATGGGTCATCAAGCCTGTCTCTGGTTATTTGCATATGATATTGGGTCTTCAAAGATTGTTATGGTCTCACATTGGACAGGTAGGTAAATATGGTGGTCAAATAATAGTGTCGCGACTCTGGGTTGCCTGCTGACAAAAATCTTGGGCTCGTTGTTCGTTTCGTTTATTCCAAAAATCAAAGTCCAATTAACACAGCAATAATTTATTCCACTTAACAAAACACTCTGACACTAATTACTTTATTAACAAACTCAACAATTAAACTCTTTACAATCACTATTTAAATCGTATCACAGTCGAACTGAAACTTAACTTACAAATCAATGCCGGCCTTCTTATATATCCCTAAATCTATTCCTGTAAAATCTAGAATACACACGATAATCTAATTTTCCAGATTAAAGTAGAATAATTCGCTAGATTCTAGTATTTCCGCGATCGATTCTTGACAGCCTGGCGTACGTTTAGGTTATTGTGACACTGCCCTCCTCTTAAGGTTGATCGTCCCGATCAACTTCACGCCCATGATATTTCGCCAACCTGTCCAGATGTACAACTTTCATCTTACTCCTGGTGTTGCGCTGGACTCGATAAACCAAATCATTGATCCTCTTGATTACTCTATAGGGTCCTTCCCATGCTGAAGACAATTTCGGTGATACTCCTTTCTTCCTTACTGGGTTATACAACCACACTAAATCACCTTCTTGAAATCCGACCGAATTGGCCTTCAAGTCGTATCTGGTCTTCATTCGGTCACTGGCTAGTTGAATATGCTCCCGAGCAAAATCATGGATACCCAGAAGTCATGCCCTTCGTCGGCATTATCTCGGATTTCTCTTCGTTCTTCTTCGGGTACTCCAAACATCAGATCGCAAGGTAACCTGAGTTCCCTTCCAAAAACAATTCTAGCCGGACTTTCACCTGTTGAATCGTGAACAGTCGCTCTGTAAGCCATTAAAAAGAGAGGCAAATGCTTGTCCCAATCTCGTTGGTTCTTTGCGACCACTTTTGTCAGGTGTTCCTCTATGGTCTTATTGAATCGTTCCACCATGCCATCAGACTGAGGGTGTAAAGGTGTTGTCCTTGTCTTACGAATGCCCATGATCTCACAAACTTTCTTAAAGATGGCAGATTCGAAGTTTCGTCCCTGGTCTGAATGTAACTCTAGTGGCACACCATGACGACTAAAAACTTCGTCCACTAGCACCTGGGCAACAGTGATGGCTTCTTGATTGGGAATAGCGAAAACTTCTGGCCATTTACTGAAGTAATCCATGATAACTAAGATGTATTTGTTACCACGCTCTGACTCTGGGAACGGTCCTGCTACATCTATCGCTATTCTCTCAAATGGAAGACCAACGTTGTATTGTTTCATGGGCCCCCGAGATCTTAGTTTAGGGCCTTTACTGGTAGCACAGATGTCGCATTTTCGGCACCAGCTTTTAACGTCTTCATGGTAGTGAACCCAGTAAAAACGTTCCCGAATTTTGTCCAAAGTCTTGTTAACTCCGAAATGTGCCCCTGAGGTTCCGTCGTGTATTTCTTTTAATACATCTTCCACTCGGTCTTTTGGGATAACCAGTTGGCTCTTAGTGGATTTCCCGAGGGATTTCCCATCGGCACTTTCCCAAATTCTTTTGAGCAAACCATTTTCTACGGCCAGAGAGTTCCACTGGGCCCACAACGCCTTGTAAATCAAGCTTTTGTTTGACACTTCCCCCCATTCTGGCCTACATTCATCATTTTCTTTAAGATGCAGAATTTGCCCAATGTCTTGGTCTGCCTCCTGATCTTCTTTCATTTGCTTGGTAGTCCATTTGTCATCGACGATCAGGCCCGTTCTTCTTACAGCTGGACTAGTGTTTTTCTCATGTATATCGATTCTTTGTCAATGTTTGCAATCTTCTTTACATGGCCGTCTAGACAGAGCGTCAGCATTTTTATGCAGGTTTCCAGGTCGATGTTTAATTTGGAAATCGTATTGCTGCAATTTCTCAATCCATCTAGCAAGCTGTCCTTCAGGAGTTTTCATTTCTAAAAGCCATTTTAGAGCTGCGTGATCTGTTCGAATTAGAAACTTGCGTCCGTAGAGATACTTATGAAAATGGTCGACTGCTTTTACTATGGCAAGCAACTCTCTTCTGGTGACACAATAATTTCGTTCCGGCTTTGATAATGTTCTGCTGTAGTACTCCACGACATGTTCTTGTGAACTTTGGATTTGTGAAAGGACAGCTCCAACACTGGTGTTACTTGCATCTGTGTCCAAAATCAACATGCCTTTGTGATCAGGATAGGACAACACTGGGCTCGTACATAATGCTCCTTTCAATTTTCTAAATGCGGAATCGCATTCTTGGGTCCAATTGAATGTTGATTTTTCTTCTGTTAATCGATGAAGTGGAGCAGCTATATTGGCGAATCCTTCCACAAATCTTCGATAATAAGAACATAATCCTAGAAAACTCCTTAGTTCATGTTTGTCGCGTGGTTTTGGCCAGTCCCTGACAGCATCTATTTTTCCTTCCATAACTTGTATGCCCTCCTCAGATACCACGTGACCTAAGAATTCCACTTTCTTTTGAAATAGGAAACACTTATTTGGATTGAGTTTTAAGTTGGCATTCCGGAAGCGGTTAAAAACTTCTTTCAGGTTATTGAGATGTTCTTGGAACGAATTTCCCATAATCATGACATCATCCAAATATACCAGGCAAGTTCTCCATGTAAGACCTCGCAAAACAAGATGCATCAGTCGCTCAAACGTAGCTGGAGCATTACACAATCCGAAAGGCATTACATTAAACTGGTATAGCCCGCTTCCGGTACTGAAGGCAGTTTTCTCTTTGTCATCGTCATGCATTGCCACTTGCCAGTATCCACTTTTGAGATCCAAGGTGGAAAACCATTTAGAGCCCGATAGAGTTGTTAGTGTATCGTCTATTCTTGGGAGAGGGAAGCTGTCCTTCTTGGTGACGTCATTAAGCTTTCGGTAGTCCACACAAAATCTAAGACTCCCATCTTTCTTCGTAACCAGTACTACTGGCGCGGACCATGGACTATTTGACTCTTCAATGACTCCCTCTTGAAGCATTTTATCAATTTGGTTTTCCACTTCCTGTTGCTTAGCTACTGGCATACGTCGTGGTGGTTGTCTAATTGGGTGTGCCAATCCAGTATCAATTTTGTGTTGAATTAAGCCGGTTCGTCCGGTTTGATTGTCCATCACAAATACGTCTGCTTCTTTCAAAATGAAATCTGTGACTTCTTGAAGTCTATCTGGATCGAGATGTTTCCATGATTTCGCCAAAGTCTGCATCAAGGTGTCTGTCTCCAATTTGGATTTCACAAAATGTCGCTTATCTGGTAGGTCACAGTTCGATATTTGCTTCACTGGTTCGAGAGCTCCAATAATGTCTCCTTGTTTTATTCTTACTGTTTCGGAAGAAACATTGGAAATTCTTATCATAATGTCTCCATTTGTTCTTACTAGAGTCTTTCCAACAAGAAATCTTTCTGGTTTATCTCCAATAAAATTACGTGTTAGCCCAACGCATCACCCAGGGTTTGTTTCTA